AAAAGAGAACAAGAGGAGAAACTGAAAATGCAGAACCTGATTTTTCTTTGATGAATAGAAGTTCGGATTCCAAATTTTTGAAGTCCGAATGACAGACCTGCAATTTTTCAATCTTAATTGGTCGTGTTCCCTTGACTGAGTACAGAATACATGCTTTGGGCAGTGGGTACATCAGCTAAAGTGTTCTTGGATAAACATTGACTTAGTCAAACAATACAGTAAATGTTTTTCACAGATTTTGATTATCAATGAATCTTCTGAAAATCAGATCTTGATTTGCTGGAAATTCTTCAATTAACTATTTTTAAAATAGTTTTAAAGAACGAATTAATCGATTAATCATCAATTTAATCAATTAATTTGATCTTAGAATATTAGGTTTGAAATAGCAATAGTGTAATAATCGATTAAAACAGAAAAGAATCGATTAAATTTGTACTATATATATATAATGAAATAATCACAAAATTTTAATCGATTAAACCGAAAAATAATCGATTAAATTTAACTCTTTAATGATTTTAACTGATGTAAATCCTTTTTAATCGATTAAAACAGAGATGATAAAACTATACTAAAATCTTGAAAACATTTTAATCGATTAATTCATATAATAATCGATTAAAACTGTATGGACAACTTTTCTGTAAGTGAAATTAATCGATTAAAAACAGTTTTATATCAATTAAAATACTCAGTCCATGAATCCAGAATCAATATTTATTGATCAGGTACCAAAGAATTTCCAGATTTTGTTCTTGCAAAACAGATTTAGCATAATCTGGTACCCTTTTATAGAATTATAGGGTCCAATCAGGTTATATGGAGTGAGTTCTTGGGAATCCACTTCATTCTTCCTTTTAGTACACTATATTTCTTAATTTTGCAGAACTTAACAGAATGACCTCTTTTCATACAATAAAAGCATTTAATAACATATGATGAGTATGATTTCCTATTTTCAACAGTTTTTCTGGTTTTCTTGCTAGATGTAAATTCAATGTCAGATTTGTCAAAAATAAGTTTTAGTGACCCAAGAAGAACATCAAAATTAGCTTGACCTTGTGTAAATTTAGAAATAGTTTGTAACAAAAAATCAATCTTCTTTTGTAAATCTGGACAATTATTGCATGGTTTATTACATAAGCAATCAAAACTATCATGGATTAATTTTAAGCAATCAAGATCAGTTACATCTTTAAGAATTTTCTTTTCAAGAGAATCAACTCTATTTTCTAGCCAATTGTTCATGTCTTTTAGCCTATCATTTTCTCTTTTAAGTTTCTTGGTTTCTTCATGCATTTCATTAAATGCTTCTTGCAATGAGTTATAATTCACAAAATTAGAAGAAGAGTTAGAACTTACACTACTGGTTTGATAATTATGGTTAGCCATTAGACACAAGTTAGCTTCTTCATCATCAGAATTTTCTGTTGATGAGGTATCATTGTCATCCCATGTTATATATGCTCTTTTTTTTTATCTTTTCTTCTTTCTTGTCATTGTGTTTGTTCTTTTCTGGACACTACATCCTTACATGACCCTGTTTACCACAACCACAGCATTTATAGTTAAAAGAATCAGATTTCTTTTGATACCTTTTATGTCTTTCTTTATCTTGGATTTTTTTCTTGAGAAACTTGTTGAACTTTTTCACCAGCAGTCCAAGATTCTCACTTTCTTCTTTTGATTCTTGATCATTGAATCTATTAATTTTTCACCAGAGCGCTATGCTTCTACCTTTATTTTCAGAGATTTCTTGCTCATTGAATCTATTAATTTTTATCTCATGCTCTCTGAGTTTGCCAAATAAAGAGGCAGTTGTCATGATGGACAAGTCTTTTGACTCTGATATTGCTGTGACCTTAGGCTGCTATGACCTATCAAGACATTTCAAAACTTTTATATTCAATTCCTCTTTATCAAAGGTCTTACCTAGGCCCATTAAAAGATTGATGATGTGAGTGAATCGTTTTTGCACATCTGCAATGCTTTCTCTAGTTTGCATCTTAAACAGCTCATATTCCCGTATGAGAATATGCTTCCTAGCTCTTTTCACATCAGCAGTTCCCTCATGAGTAACTTCAAGAACTTCCCACATTTCTTTGGCAGATTTGCATTGAGAAACCCTGAAAAATTCATCCATATTTATTGCAGAAGTAATTATGTTTTTAGCAGTACAATCACTTTGAACTTTTCTTTTCTCTGCATCATTTAAACTAGACTATTCTTTCTCTGTAATTAATGGACCATTAACAATTACATCTCAAACATTTCTATCAATAGATTCAATAAAGATCTTCATCCTTATCTTCTAAAATGGATAATATGTACCACAAAATAGTGGAGGTCTATTAATAGAAGCACCCTCAGAAAAAGGTAATTTGTTTTCGACCATGAAAGATTTGGACCGAAAGTCTTGAGTATTTTTCAAGACCCTGCTTTGATACCAATTGTTAGAAAAAGAGGTTGAGATCAAGAGGGGGGGTGAATTGATCTTTGAAAAATTTTCGCAATTTACAGATTATCTATTTCAAAGATTAAGAGTTTTAACCAATTCTTGAACCAAGAAAATCAAGCTATTCAAAGTAAGTCAGCAGCAGAATTAAAGAGAGTAAGATTTAGAGAAATACAACCAAGATTTATACTGGTTCACCCAATCCCAGGGCTACGTCCAGTTCTCAGCCAAATTCCAGCTGAGTTCCACTAGTTGAATATTTTACAGATTACAGATTTCAATCACACATCCAATCTACCACAAGATCCAAATTCCATATCTTGCACCTAAACCTTCACCAAGAACCAAATTCTAGTTCTTGAACCAACCTGCAGCCAAATTCCAGCTACAAAACCAGTGCCCAACAATTCTAGACACTCACCACCCAAGAACCAAGTTCCAGTTCTTATACCAACCTATAGCCAAATTCTAGCTACAGAACCAGTGCCCAACAATTCCAGACACCCACAATACAGTAAAGAAATGTAAAGAAACAAAGACAAGAAACTAGAATAATCAAACCTGGATTATGCAGTCCCTGCAGTATGAGTTTCTTCACAAAAAGAATGCAAAAATTTCTCAAGAAAGAACTTTGAAAAACACCACAAAACTTGCGTAATTCTTCCTTGAAAATAGCTCTTATAATTGCTTGATTGATTGCTCAAAAGTATGTTTTAAAATGTTGAATCAAGTTTGTTTATATAGAAAAGTTTTTCAACTTCTGGTTTAATTAATTTGTTAAACCGTTCTTTTAATTTGTTAAAAGTCTTTGATTAATCGATTAAAATTTCTTTTAATCTGTTAAAATGTTCTTGATTATTTTCCAGATTTATTTTAATTGATGCGACATCGTTTTGATCGATTAAAACAATTAACAAAAAGTCCCTTAAGTTGTTTTAATCGATTAATTCACAATTTAATCAATTAAAATTCTGCCAAAAACTTTCATAAAACTTTCTAAGTAATTTTAACTGATAACAATAGGTTTTAATCGATTAAAACAATTAGCAAAAAGTTCATTAAGTTGTTTTAATCGATTAATTCGATTTTACATCAATTAAAATTATTCTGATCGATCATATTTGAGCTTACATCGATTATAACTTGTTTTGATCGGTCATAGATGAGATTACATCGATCAAAAAGCTTTTTAAGTGATTTTAATCGATTATTTCGAAGTTTAATCGATTAAAATACTGTCAGCACACTTTTTAAAATATTTTAAACAATTTTAATCGATTATTTCAAATTTATATCAATTAAAACACTGGCAGAAGGTTTCCAAATACCCTTTTAATGAAAATAACCAATTATTTCGAAAGCATACCAATTAAAAATCTGTTATATAAGTTTTAAAAACATTTTAATTGATAAAGCTTATATAATATCAGTTAAAACAATTTCTTAAAAAACTATTTAACCGATTACTTTGATTTTTAACAGATTAAACATCTTTAGAGGCATTTTCAAATTCTTTTAAATGATGAAACCTCATGCAGCAAAGAGATATGAATGAATATAGATATAGATATAAACTCACTAATCACTCTAGCCTTTAACCCAATAACCTTTAACTATCATATTAATTGTTGACTTCATCAAATCCACAAAATCTTCGTTTTATCAAATAATTCAATAAGATCTCCATCTCTTTATCATCGAATACTGGTGTTATTTGATGTTTGGTGGAGTAAACCAAAAAGTATTACGTGAAAATAGAGACATGTGGCAGATAACTGTTGTTTCAAAACATAGTGTTTTAGCCATGAGGCTTTTGGCACGAGAGTTATAGGTAATAATTAAAGATATTTTCATTAAGTCAAAAATCTCGAATAGACCATATATATTACAGGTAAGCTGAATGCAAAAGATACAAAGCTTATCAAGGTATAGACTTCATTAAGAAAATATTTCATGATGTACATAACCAATTGATAAACCGCACGGAAATACACATCTAAGTTTCAGCTCTGCATAATATTTTAAAGCCTTAAGTTATTAGTAATAATACCATATTTTTTTAAGGATTTATATCGGCACACTATCTCTTAAGTCTAGAAACTAAAGATCGAATTGCTCCCCATGAAAACCGAGTCCCAACATTTACTTAAGAGGTATTGAAACAACCACATATAAGAGGTATTGAACTAAAGATCGAATTGCTCTCCATTGAAACGGACACATTGTGCTCTTTGAAACCTGAAACTACCTTCGGCGAGTTGTTAATGTTTTCTTCGAGCTCTCAAGGAATGGAATGAACAAATGTCAGTTTAAATTTACATGTTTCTCTCTATGCCCCTATTTTTTTTTCTCTCATCGAGTATCATGTCATTGAATAGCATTTCAGATGCCAAAAATGCATCACACGCCATTAATGTAATCAAAGGCCTTTTACCTCTTGTGAGACTAAGACCTTCCGAGGAACTATAGCACTTAGACCATCAACTCACTACAAAACCATAAACAATTCTCCAAAGGTAGTAACTTCAGTCTTCAACTACCTTCATTCGTATGCATCCTCTTGCATATTATCTGGTCGCTTCCTGGCTTGCAAAGCCAGTCGTGCATCTCTCTCTCGCTCAAACTCACGATAATCAGTTCGTTGTAAGAAAGAAACCTTGTCCAAATACTGGTTAGAACTTTTCTTATAAGCATCAAGCTCTACATCCAGGCCCTTATTTTCTTCTTTAAATTCTCCCCAGTCCTTTTTGGTCTTATCAAGTACACTGAGCTTCTGTTTCTTCTTAATTTGTTCAAGGACAACATCCACTGCAGAAGGTGGAGGAGCTTTGGATCTTTCCATTGCCTCCTTTGAGTCAGAATCAACAAGCTTTTTAACTTCAATTTCTTGACCAGCAAAATCCCGAACCTCAGTAATCTGAAAAAGGAAGAAAATCAACATTGAGACTCATGCCCCAAATGGGTGCTGGGAATGATATGTCATCAACCAAGTTGGAATCCCAACCATTTTAAAATTTCAAGTCAAAATTTTTGCACATGGTATATACTCAAATTGTGTTGGGCCTAATAATAGACACCTCTCGAACATTACAACATATTGAAACAGCTAGAAATAAGCTATCCTGTCCAGTCTATGTCAAAGCATTTTATTATATAACTCAGGCATCTCTACATATTGAAATAAAAATAAATAAATCCAAAGCATTTCAAATTTTCAAGTAAAAAAATAAAATTGTACAAGGTATACTCAAATAGGCACCCTAGTAAAATACATACTGAAACAGCCGAATATAAGCTAAATCCTGTCCTGTCTATGTCAAAGCATTATTTTATATAACTCGGGCATCTCCACATATGGAAATAAAAATAAATTAATAAAATTTCAAAGCATAAATTCTTTATTATCCAAGTCTATATATTTTCTCTGCCATTTGGCTAATCGCACACAAAATTTTCCCATTTCATCAAGATTAGCACATGGCCAAAAATAGGTACAATGGATAGCAATATGCTTACCACAAGTTTTCCCCTGCTTGAGGCAGCCATGGCAACATCATCTTTCACTGCTGCAAGAGCAGCAGCAGCAATCTTCTTGGCTTCTTCACTGGTGCCGCTTTGCGTCATGCCATGTTCATTCTTTGAAGCACCTTGTCCGAGAGATTCAGTTGCCTTTGCTGGTGCCAACCCCAAATAAGACATCCAGTTCTATGTTCAAAGTTAACAGGTTGAAAGAAATTAAACTCGATAACGGTGAAAAGTGTTCTACTCTATTTTTTCACAAAGTATCTCGTAGAAAAGAACAACAGCATCGTCTTACAGAAGAAGTTTTTTTTGCAGTTTTTTTGGGAGCAGAATTAGGCTTGCTTGTAAATCTGTTGAGAATCTTATTAGATACTCCCTTATTCATTTGTTCCCACATGGCATCAACTTGAGCTTTTATTTCTGCCAAGAGAAAGAGCATGTGAAATAAGCAAATTTATCCCCAACAAAAACCTTAAACTTTCAACAACAGACAGAATCATTGTCAAAGATAAACCAAAGTGTTAGCATGCATATTGAAACCAAAAACCTCACCAGTATCCTCCTGTTTTGTTTCCAAGCAAGACCCCAGGACAGGTTCTTTGACAGACTCAGTTGAACTCGCATTGATAGTATCTGAAATATAAAACCTAAATTTGATTCAAAGAAATTCTATTTATATTCAGAAAAGAGAAAATTGAAATTGAAGAAGTTACAATGATAAAAATCATATATAGGATTCGAGGAAAAAAAATGTATTCAACCATCAAGACCCATGAAAAAAAGCTGAAGCTTTATTTACCTTTACCTTTCCCGATTTGTGTCACGAAACGACAACCACCAGAAAACGTTAATGAGGAAAGAGGGAAATGCAGAGAATTAGGGTTTTCACAGTAAACAGTAGTTAGAAATCTAGTAAAAGAGGGAGTGAGCCTGAAAACAAAAAGAATCTATATGTATTTAAAAGCACGCATACGAAGTGTGTCAATAAGAAGATGATGTTAGAAATCGGTATTATGAATAGTTTTGTTTTTTGGGAAATGGAATTATGAGCGTTTGGATTGAAAGTTACCAAAAAGAGGGAAGAGGAAACAGAGAACGAACAAAATCTAAAACAAAATAAAAGCTTTACCGGCAGAACTCATTTCTGGCGGTGGGTGGCCGAGGAACACAACAACTTCGGCTTTCCCCTCCCTTCTTTGTTCTCTTTATACCTCCTTTTATTCTCGTTTCCGAAATTACCCTTCTCAATTTCTCTAATTTTTTTTTCTGTTTTTTCTTTCTTACAAAACTTAAATATCATCATGTAATTTATTATTATTATTTATTAATAATTAATTAGTATATATGATTAAAATTATTTCACCAATAATATTTTTCCTATGATAGTCAAAGACTCGTTTATTTTTCAGTCCTAAAGGCCAACCAAATAAATTTCGTCTATCAACATTTTTTTCAAATAAATAATTTGAAATTAAATTTAAAAAAAAGTTATCGATCAATTGTTTTGATTGGAGATCATTGATAATTTTGTGTATTCTTTACTTAGTAATTTATTAGTATTTTTCATTTTTAGTTAGTTAATATAAACGGAATTGCTACTTGGACAGTAAGATTTATCAAAGAGTGTGTTTGAAATTTTTGACAATAAAATATTTAATATTTTTGTATAAATAATTTACATTAATACATTTTCATAAAATATATACTTAAAAGGTTTTTTATTTTTGTCCAAAATTTTATATAAAAAAACATATTTTTGTTTATTGGTTTGTTAAATTATATTTTAAATCAATTTTTTAAAACTCAATAATAATAATAATAATAATAATAATAATAATAATAATAATAATAATAATAATAATGTAATTGAATGATTTTTATAATCTATATATTTTTAAAACTATGTATTATATTGATCTTGGTCTATATAATAAAATATTTAACCATTCTTAAACAATATATTCTTTATATGTGATCTATATAGACATAACTTTTAATCTATTTCTAAATTAAAAAAATATAATTCAACTAAAAATTATTAAGAAAATCTATACTTTTGAAATTATGACATATCTAGAAAGTTATATATATATATATTACAGTTTAGATTAAGAGTTTATATTACCGAATGATGTCTGTAAAAATTATGCAATATTATTTTTTAAAATATGTTGACATAAACTAGTTGATTATCATTTTATGATTGTTTATTTTTCACAAAAAATCAAGATAATGTATAGTTACAATTCAATAGTCATAAATTACAAATATATATATATATATATATATATATATATCAAATATATTTTTATAATATATAAATTATATTTGTAATTGAATTTAATAATATTTTAATGTAGATTTTCTATTACCATATAATTATATTTATTTAATTTTTCTAATTGCTACCTCTTACAAGCATTTGTTCCTGTAGTTTAAAAATTAAAATGTTTTGTTTATAAATTGTTTAGTTAAAATGAGGTGCGAGATATTGATTAATTGTGAATAAAAATGATGATAAAAAAAAAACAGTAAGTAGTAGATGAGTAAAAAGTGGAGATTGTGAAACGTTATCCAGTGTCTCGAAGTGCAAGGGAAGGATCGAGTGATAATAAGAAGGAGAATTATCTGTGGCAATGGCACCACACACATGGCTTCTCTTGCTCTGCAATTCTCCCCACTCTCTTCTTCTCTCTTCTCCAAACCCTTCCCTTTCACCCAACATCCCCACAGCCACAAGCGCACGTCAACTCTCATAGTCAACTCCATAGCATTAACCAATGCACAGAACAAAGAGAGAGCCAAGCTCAAGAAGATCTTCGAAGAAGCCTACGAGAGATGCCGCACTGCTCCCACCGAAGGTGTCTCCTTCACCCTCGAAGACTTCACTGCTGCTCTCGACAAATATGACTTTGATTCTGAAGTTGGTTCCAAGGTCACTCTCTCCCTCCTCCTTCCTCTTTTCCATTCAATTCTCAATTGGGTCATCGTCAACCTAAGAAAGATCACCTTTTTAATAAACATTCGGGTGCGTGTTTCACTCAGGTTAAAGGGACTGTGTTCTACACGGATAACAATGGAGCAGTTGTTGATATTACTGCAAAGTCCTCGGCGTATTTGCCACTGCAGGAAGCGTGCATCCACAGGGTTAAGCATGTGGAAGAAGCGGGCATAGTTGCTGGGTTGAGAGAGGAGTTTTTGATCATTGGTGAGAATCAAGCGGATGATAGTTTGATCTTGAGTTTAAGGTCTATCCAGTATGATCTTGCATGGGAACGTTGTAGGCAGCTTCAAGCAGAAGATGCTGCTGTAAAGGGTAAGGTGGGTTTGTCGTACCACCAAACTGTGTTGGTTTCAGTTACTCATTACTTTTGCAATAACGTTCCTTTGACATTAAGATTACTGTGTTAACAGATTGTAGGGATGAACAAAGGTGGAGTGGTGGCTGAGGTGGAAGGGCTTAGAGGGTTTGTTCCATTGTCACAATTATCAACGGTTAGCCCTTGACTTGAGCTACATTCACACTTATGGACGCACTCCCGGTTTAAACTTGCTGTATGTATGCCATGAGTTTCAAATTATGGGGTGGGGAACCAGTTTACCCATCAGTAACTAAGTGTGACATTTATTAACACATGCCATGAAACAGTTCAAAAAATCTTCTGATATTCTTGTTGGAGTTGAAACTGAGTCGTGCAATTTTCTTATCAGTATCTGTATGCTTCTACAAGTCATAAATTAGATCATTCTGTGTGTTGTGTCGATGAATAAGTGCAAAACACTTCTAACGTTCCATTCCGTGTTAACAGTTCAAAAATAACTTCCAATATTCTCATTGAAGTTGAAATTGAGTCATGCATTTTTCTTCAGAACTTGTTTTCTTCCGCAAGTTATAAATTAGATCATTTTGCAGGCTAGAAAAATGAAACTTTTCATATTCATTTCTGACTTTCATTTAGCTTCTAAGACACCGGGTTTAAAATTTTTATACCTTTAGGAAACCGCTCAAATTCTTTTCATTTCGCTTATTATCTTCTCAGAACTCGAATATAGAAGAGCTTCTCGATAGGGAGCTTCCCCTAAAGTTTGTGGAGGTGGATGAGGAACAATCTAGACTTGTCCTCAGTAACCGCAAGGCCGTAGCTGGCAACCAGGCACAGCTAGGCATTGGTTCAGTGGTTACGGGCTCTGTTCAAAGTCTGAAGCCATATGGGGCCTTCATTGACATTGGTGGAATTAATGGCCTCCTTCACGTTAGTCAGATCAGTCATGACCGAGTAACTGATATCTCAACTGTTCTTCAACCTGGTGACATATTAAAGGTAAAAACTATAGTGAATAATGTGGATTCTTGTCTAGATTGGACATAAAAATCTCAAAGTTCTAAAATTTTTAAGGTGATGATCTTAAGTCATGACCGTGAGAGAGGTCGAGTAAGTCTTTCCACTAAGAAGTTAGAGCCCACTCCTGGAGATATGATCCGCAATCCGAAGGTTGTATTTGAGAAGGTATGTTACGAACAAAGTTTCTTGAACCTTTTACTCATTACATTTGCAAATTACAACGCATAATTTCAGCTGCTTCATTAAAAACTCAATTTGTTTCCAGTTTTAGCTAACTAATGCCATAGTTTGGCATCGTATAGGAAGCTTAAAAGAGGGTTCCTACTTATTTTATTTGTTGGAGATCCCATATTGATAGCGATATGACTCAACATTATACATATATAAGTTAGATTTTGAGATTAAACACAACTTCTAAAATAGTGTCATAGTTTATCCTAGTTATTGTTTAGACCATCTGTTATCTGTTGAAATTGAGAGAAAATCTAATGTGAAAATCTTTTATATTCTATAAAATGAACCCATAGAGTTAGCTATTTATAGCTGTTCTTTCGGGGCAGAAAGAGATCTAACTACCTGTAACGAACTAAGGTTACAGATACATAATTACGTGCCCATAGGTTTGTCTCAGCTATAGGAGTAAAACTATACTCTAAATTATTGGATAATTAGAAGATACCCATTCAGTCATGCAAATTTTACATTTAAATAATTTTACGTTTAAAATGTTCAATCCTCAACGTATAAGAGTGCTGGAAATCCCACTTTGGGTTGATATAAAAGGAAGACAATTCTTGTCCAGTGAGCTGGTTTCTGGAATGAAGAACAAACTCAAATTTTAAAAACTATTTCCTTCTATTTGTGATACAAGTTTTAAATCTATTTCAACCCATTTTCATAAGTATTGGCATTTTTGAAGGAGAATTCACTCACATAATTCTGAACTTTTGTTATATAGGCTGAGGAGATGGCTCAAACATTCAGACAGAGAATAGCCCAGGCAGAAGCTATGGCTCGAGCTGACATGCTTAGGTTCCAGCCTGAGGTATCTATGGGTTTATTTTTTGTTCAAAATTCTGAATCTGATAAGAAGGGAGAAACAGCAATTGATTAAAGTGGGACTAAGATTAAAAGAACATAGCAAAGTCAGTTTCTTGATGCAGCTGAAGATTATTGAAGTTTCTGAAATGACAAGAATAAAATTATTTAAAAATGGGCCTTACTAGACAAGGAAAGGAATTTCATAGTGCATTTGCATAAAAATGGAATTTACTTCTGACACATTACTGCTTCCAGCAACTAGAAATTTATCTTGTGGTTTGGTAATCTTCCTATAATATCCACACATACATGGTAGAGGTATGGCAATGGTAATTAGATGAACCTATCTCACCCAATATTCCATTTTGATTGGCAGAGTGGATTGACTCTCAGCGGTGATGGGATCCTGGGACAATTTACTTCAGACTTGCCTGAAGAGGGACTGGATCTAAGTGAGGTACCACCAGCTGAAGAATTATGATTGAAAATTTTCGTGGTCTTCTGCTTACTTTTTATGATGTTGCTTGTAATAATCAAATATTGTTGCCGAACGATGTCTTGAGTGATATTTTCGCTAGAATATATTCATCTTCAAGCAACTTAGAAGAGTATATGTATTCATTGTTATGCATCGTCATAATCATAACATGTTATTAAAATTCCAGTACTGCAGTTGAAACAACAGTATCATATTCCAAATCCCATTTCTTTCCTTCCATATCTTTTCCTACCACATTTTTTATGGAAAAAAAAGGTCATAAAGAATATCATCGTCTTTATTCCCAAGAATTACCCTACTAGAAAGAGAGAATAACCCTACTAAAAATAAATTACCCTACTTCAAAACAGGAGAAAAACTATGACCATTATGTAATGATAAGTAGAGAATAATACTATGTAAAATTTTTTATAACACATAGACAACTCTCTCATGCTCTTTAACCCCAAATACACACTCATACTCTCTAAATCAAGAATTTAAACTAATCCTCTCAATACTCTACTACAAGAGAGTAAGAAAAGTCAAATACATGTTTAAAGTGTCTTTGACTAAAGTAAGCAACATCATAGACTTTAAGCTCATTATATAGCTACTATTACTCACTCTATGGTTTATCCAATGTGATGTGAGACTTTTCAAGATGTATTATTTTCATAAATCCAATCGTTTTCTTTACTTAAGATGTGATAAAAAAAATACTCAAAATGTCATTGTTCTTGAAAAAATCCCAAGCAGTTGATCATGATGATCAAGTTGGATAAACACGATTTGAGTAAGTCGGGTTTTGAAAAATTCTAGACTCAACCAATAAAAAATAATTGGTATGATCGATTTGTATAAATTTATTTTTTTTTTCAATTTGAAGTACCAATTCAAAATAATTCAACAAGATCAAATTTAATTTTTCATCAAACAAGTCATTAGATATTAATTTTTTTAATCCATCCAGTAATGATGATTGGGTGTGGATAGTCTTAAGGTTCCAACATAAAACCAACTGGCAATATGTGGAGTAGCCTAACATGTATTTAAATCATACCAAATGACATGAGGTAGGAAATGTGAGACTTTCAACAATCCCCCTCCAACCGGAAAGATATTAGGTTTTGGCTCTGATACCATGTCAAGGTTCCAACATAAAACCAATTGGCTCCAACGAAGTCTGCTGAACCAGGCAAAAGATACTTTTGACCCACAACAAAATGACAACTCTTGGCCCTGTTGGAAAAACAACAATAATAATAATAATAATAATAATCCTGATTTTGATTCTAACGATCAAACATAAACATAATCCCATACTGATAAACATGTTGTAAACTGAATGCGAAAGCGTACCTGAATTAACCATAATGATGATGTCTTTGTAGAGCACTGTATTGATCTTATGGTCTTCCACTTGAAGAGCACCTGTATTTCCCTCTTGATTTTTTCTCTTGATGGGGATAGAAAGAAAGGAACAGGAATGAAACTTACATTCTGTCTACGTGCTCCCAGAAGGGGACCATGACCCCTTAAAATAACCAGAATTAGGTTAATTACTTAAGTTTTAGTATTTCCAATTTGGCCCCTCATCAAATTAAAAATTACTCTATGGTCTCTACACAATTTTATTTTCATGACATATGCCTTTAGCCAAAACTTTAATTTATTCAGATCACTTTATTATTTGGTTTAATAAATAATGACCCTAACACATTTAAATATGTATCATATATATACATGACCCAAATTTTGCCAACAATCTCCCACTGGTCACAAATATATATGTTTTTACAACCTTACAAATGTGTTAGACTTTATGAGCTCAAAATTGTCATTATATTCCTTTAGCATATTCCAAAAGTCCTGTCCATTAATCATATAAGGATATAGAACCAAACCAACTTTTCATTGCATCATCGCAACTAAAACCAACAATGATTACTCATCCTGACATAACCAAATGACATGGATTCATCATGAAATGTGTAGCATGAAAAATTACGTGAAGGTGATCTGTACACGTCTATTTTCAATTGGTCCAAACTTTAACTTATCGAGATCGATATAATATCCTTAATGTACAAAGTGTAATGAATGAACGAACAAACCGCATATCTATAGATAACCAAATATGTCCAAAAATCAATGTATACATATATGAAATTAAACATAAAACATAAAATATATGAAAGTGACTAACTCCCACTAAACCACAAATTCCTCAAACTGTAAAACACCCATGTGAGCAACATGCTCATGAAAGACCTTGGGCAGAAGTCCTTTAGTTAGAGGATATGCTATCATAGAGTTTGTCCTTAAGTGTTATATGAAAATCTGTCCACTTTGTACTCTTTCCTTAACAATACAGCTGATTTATTGTCACAATATAACTTAAGTGGTCTTTCAATGCCTTTCACAATTTGCAGCCCTGTGATAAAATTTCTCAGCCATATTCCATGATTTGATGCCTCATAGCATGTTACAAATTCTTGACATCCTACAAAATCTGAGTCAGAAAACCTAGCGATCTTCAACTGGTCTGACCTCCTATATGTAAGCATATAATCTTTTGTTCTCTTTAAATATCGTATGACTCCTTTTGCTGCTTTTCAATGGTCTATTCCTGGATTGCTTAAATATCTGCCTAGAACCCCAACTATATATGCTATGTCTGGATGCGTACATACTTGGGCATATATCAAACTCCCTACAACTGATGCATAGGGAATCTTTTGCATTTCCTCAATTTCCAAATTCCCTTTGGGCACTGATTGAGACTAAACTTGTCTCCCTTTAAACTTGTGATATACACAATCATCAACAATATTCATCTTGAAGCCAAATGAGAGAATTACTTGATGAAATTTATAGTACCATTGACGAGATGCTTGTTTTAGTCCATAAATGGATTTTGTCAGTTTGCAAACCATACTCTTTGAATCTCCCTGCACAAAATTTTCTGGTCGCACCATATAAATCGTCTCATCAATGTTGCCATTAAGAAACGCCGTCTTGACATCCATTTGATGAAGCTCCAAATCATAATGTGCTACAAGAGCCATGATTGTCCTAAAAGAGTCTTTCGATGAAACTGGAGAGAAAGTCTCTTTAAAATCAATCCCTTCCTTTTGGGTATAGCCCTTAGCTACCAGACGAGCCTTATACCTTTCCACAGTACCTTTAGAATCTCGTTTGGTCTTAAATATCCACTTGCAACCAATGGGTCTCATACCTTCTGGTAATGGGACAAGTTCCCAAATCTTGTTGTCTTGCATGGACTTATACTCCTCCTTCATTGCTTCAATCCACTTTTCAGAGTTAGAACCTTGCATGGCTTGACGGAAGTTAACTGGGTCATCTTCCATCATACCATTGTTTTTCTCATGTTCCTGAAGAAATACCATGTAATCATCCGAAATAGCACTTCTTCTTTCTCTAGTGGATCTCCGCAAAGTTATTGGCTCATGATGCACAGGTTCTTGAGGATCTTGAGTTTGTTCTTCATGAACAACCAAATCATCTTGAGTAAGGGGTTCATTAACAATACCTTGTGGAGGTTCCGAACTTACTTTATCAAAAGTAACTGTTTGAATCGGTTATGAAATTGTTATTGATTCTTCCTCCAAGATGAAGTTCTTAATCTTATTCTTCCCCCCAAACTCAATATCCTCAAAGAACGTAACAGTTCCAGTCTCAAAAATTGTCTTTAATGTGAGATCATAAAATTTATATCCCTTGGATCTTTCAGCATAACCAATAAAATAACTACTTACTGTTCAGGAGTCCAATTTGTTTTTCATTTGGCTTATAAGGCCTTGCCTCAGCTGGACAATCACACACATGGAAATGCTTCAGACTAGGCTGTCGCCCAGTCCAAAGCTCATAAGGTGTTTTGGTAGCTACTTTAGTTGGTACTCTGTTTAAAATATAAATTGTTGTCTTTAGCGCCTCTCCCCAGAGTGACTCCGGTAAGGTGGAATGACAAATCATACTCCTGACCATATCTTTAAGAGTCCGGTTTCGTCTTTCAGCTACACCATTCATACTAGGTGATCCTGGCATGGTATACTGTGGGACAATTCCACACTCCTCTAGGTACCTGGCAAAAGGTCCTGGACGCTGTTCACCTGACCCGTCAAATCTGCCATAGTACTCACCACCACGATCAGATCTGACAGACTTAATTCTTTTATTGAGTTGATTTTCAACTTCAACTTTAAATGTTTTGAACACGTCTAGAGATTGTGACTTTTCATGTATAAGGAATAAGTATGCATATCGTGAGTAATCGTCTATGAATGATATAAAGTATTGTTGACCATTCCACGAAGGTGTAGGAAATGACCCACAAATGTCCGTATGTATTAACTCTAAGACGTCTGTAACTCTATATGCACCTAATCTCTTCGCTTTGGTCTGTTTGCCCTTAATTCAACACAAACATCAAAGTTTGTGAAGTCAATGGACTCTAAGATTCCAGTTGACACAAGTCGTTCAATTCTATTTTTAGAGATGTGACCTAAGCGCTTGTGCCATAATACTCCTGAGTGAGTATCATCAATTTTACGTTTAGTACCCCGTGATTTTGTATTAAGGGTTTCATTATAGGTGGTCACAGTATCAAGTAAATACAGATTATCATAAGGCAAAAGTGAACCAGTTCCAATAATATCCGAATTAAAAGACAAACTCGAACTTATTGTTTCCAAATGAACACAAATAACTTAATTTGTCCAGATAAGAAACTCGAAACCAAATTCCGTCTAAATGACTGGCACAACAAAAGTGTCTTTCAAATCCAAATAAAAACCAGTACTCAATAACAATTTAAAATGCCCTATGGCTTCCACCTCTACCGATTTGCCATCTCCAACATATATCCATCTTTCAGAATCAATTGGCTTTTGGTAGCTTAGGCAACCCTTTATAGAAACATTGATGTTAGTAGTTGCACCTAAGTCTAACCACCAAGTGTTACTAGGTACTGATGCTAA